GAATATGTCATTAAGCATAAAAATATGTCATTGAATATGTCATTAAGCATTTGAGAAGATCATTGAGGAAGAGTAAACATCCAACTTATTGATTTCTCTTATAACATAAATAACTTTTACATATCTAAATAGGCAAATGTGTGTCAACAGAGACCTTTGGAACTATGTGGCTCCACCACTGACTATACCAAGGCTTTGTTGACTATTACATATTTACATGATTGAATTATAGCTGGCATGAACTATTTTATGTCAGTGTGATTGAAACATTCTTTGCAGTATTACATGCCTAAGGTTGATGTATTTTTAGTCCACATGGCCTGCTGTATTATCACTTTTGATAATTAGGTCAACATATTAAATTGATATTCAGTGCAAAGGTTAGCGTGTATTGATGTACTTATTGTCTTTCAACTTTATCATTCACTCTTTCCATTTGAAAATGGTTCCATCGTTCTATATCTTCACTATCTTATATTCCTTCTTCTACTTCAAATCAAGTGCTGAGCTCATAACTTCTCTTCCTGGACAGCCTCCAAATATTTTCTTCAAACAATACTCTGGTTATATTGTTACAAATGCTCAACACGGCAGAGCTCTATTTTATTACTTTGTCGAAGCAGATTCAGAAAATGCAGCATCACTTCCCCTTACTGTGTGGCTCAATGGAGGTACATTTCTCTGTTGACCTTGGTTTTTCATTTGAAGAGTTGAACTAAAAAGTTATTAATTTGATCGAATCCAAAACCTTAGGCCCTGGTTGTTCATATGTGGGTTATGGTGCTTTTATGGAGCATGGTCCTTTTCGGCCAGGGATTGATGGGAGTCTTATAAAAAACAAATATTCCTGGAATTTGGGTAATGTTTCTTGTTTCCTGAATGATCATATTGAAAAGTTTGTACACCCGAGAATCTGATAACAATGACTGATTTTGATTGCTAAACATGAAACAGAATCGAACATGCTATACGTGGACTCCCCGTAGGATTTTCATACTCAAATACAAGCTCAGACAACATCAATTGGGATGATACTGCAACTGGTACACCAGTTTTCCTGAAATAGCCAATAGTATTGATAAGTCAATGCTACAGGATATCTTTGGTTTTACTCTTTGTAATCTTTACAGCTAAGGAGAATCTCCAATTCATCCTCAACTGGTTCAAGAAGTTCCCCCAATATAGAAACTCGGATGTGTACTTAACTGGGGAGAGTTATGCAGGTTCACATATGAACTGGCCTAATCTATATGGTCTTTTGGTTGTATATACTCATAGCTTTTTAACACTAAGATTTGGTAACTAATAAGTATGTTTTTGGTTCTTAGGTCACTATATACCACAGTTTACATTATTGCTGCTTGACTACAACAGAAAGCCCAATGTTAAACCAATCAACCTTAAATCAATTGCAGTAATGTTTACATTACCCTTGAACCACCAAAGCACGTTTTCATATCTCCACTCTCTGTTGATAATTATTTCACTTTCAAATCTTCACTTAGTCCAATGACTTTGCACCTTGGGAATCCACTGCTAGATATTGAAATAAGCGTGAAGTCCGCCGGATATCTATGGTCACATGGTGTCATTTCTGATGAACTGCTTGATATGCAAAGAACAGTCTGTAATGAAACAAGGTATGTGCTGGAGTATATACGTAATGAGACATCTAACGAATGCTCGAAAGTGTGGGAACTCAGAACGGAGGAAATGGGAAATGATACAGTTAAGGATGATATTCTCTTGCCAACATGTGTATCCTCTAATGCAGCAGGACAATTACTGGCCCTTGGAAACCTTGCCACAATGCATGAAAAGGTATGAAATCAAATTCCATGAGAACTGTGATTAGGACATAATTCAACTATTTGCAATTGGAGCTAACTTGTTGCAGCTATTTTTTTTTGACACCTCGATAAGAAAGTAGGAAAAGTTGCTGATCCATGCCTTACTGAGTGGATTGATCTGTACCTTAACAAGCCAGAAGTTCAGAAGGCGCTACATGCCAATACCACTTACCTTCCGTATGCCTGGGAGATCTGTTCAGGGTAGGTTCTCTCCGTCCCGTCACTATCTCTTGCACTAAATTCTGTTTATCGCTTTATCTAAAATCATAAACTATTAAACAGAGAATACTTATATTTATTTATTTTATGTTTATAACACCCTTTACTTTCTCTTCTGCTTGTTGCCTGTGCATTTATAAAACAAGTCTGTTAAAATCTCTGAAAATGCAGGCCCCTTCAGTATAGGCTAGACGATGTTGCAATAAACATTATACCTCTACTGCCAGATATTCTAAAGGAGCATATTCCAATTCTGCTTTTCAGGTTAGGTGATTACTGAATATGAAGTTCCTACACTCAAATTTCCTCCTAACTTCACAATTGTAACAACTACGTAATCTTAACCTTTTGGTTTTTGCTAAAAGTTACTAATCTAAAGTAAGATTGTGCGTGTTTTGCATTTTCCAGTGGAGACCAAGACTCAAAACTCCCTCTGACCCAAACTAGGAAAATTGCTAAACTGCTTGCTCGAGATTTAAAGCTAGTTGCTTTTGACAAATATGGTCCTTGGTATGATGGCTTGCAGGTATGTTCCTCCATTCCCAAAGTACAATGTAGCCTTAGATAAAATATGTGACAGCATTTTTGCTTTTAGTTTGGATTACATACGCAAAAAAAACTTTAAAATGTATAGTTATAATAGATGAACTCCTAGAATCCGCTAACTCTAAATCTTGGATCCATCTCTATACTGGAGGGATCAGATGATGGAAACATGTCTGTATATATATAATTTGTTGCTTTATTACAGATTGGAGGATGGAGTAAATCATTTGGAGGGCTAAGGGAAGGCAAAAACGTTACATATCTAACATTCGCTACAGTTAGGGGCGCAGCTCATGAAGTACCCTTTACTTCTCCTTCACAACACTTTTTAGAGCATTTCTGAGAGGACATCCTCCACCACGTACGAGCAGCACCATTGCAGCCTCAGCTGCGTAATCCTATCGATCTGATGAACCTCTATTCCACTTTTCTCTAGACTGCAAGAACCTATTCTCAAGCTTTATTTTGTTATCTTTGTCTTACTTTTTTTTTTCTGTGTGGATTTTAAATAAGTCTACTTATTGTATATAACTTGGCTGGCCCTAGATTTTACCTAGAGCCCAATGATTGATTTATACAGTCTTCAAAAATTATGTTGGATCATCGCTTCTGATTTGTTTCACAATTTTGAAGAAAAGTTTCTGCCAAAAAAAGAAAACAATTTTTTATCAAGAACTGTTTTTTAATCAAACATCAACCTAAAAGTTTTTCAATTTTTGAAAAACTGAAAGATTATTCAAAAATAGTTTTTTTCCCGCAAAACAGAAAAAGACTTCTTGGTGTTTGGTTGTAAAGCAGCTTTTGGAAAACAAATGAAATTTCTTTTCCAAGACTTCATTTTCAAACTGAGAGCAAATACCACAGTACATCTACAAGATTTTTGATAATTGAATGGTAATCTACTAGTATAGTTGTAACCTTGTATCTTATAGGTGCAATGTTGATTCCCCTTCTTCTTACTCTACCCAAACGCTAGGGTAGGGATGACAAGCGGTGTGGTGCGGATTTTGCAAAATTTCAACCCAACCTGCCCTATCCCGGCCCGCATCCACACCCGCGTTCACCCGTCCCGCTCCCACACCCGCCCCGCATAACCGTTTTTTTCTTCATTTTGTTAGTTTTAAATTTTATTTAATCTTTTACCTAGATTTTTTTTTTTTACACTTTTATATATCGTGCTTTTATTAATTCTAAAGATTACAGAAGACTTCAGTTATGGAAAGAAGAAGATAAGATACTTATGAGAATTAAATTCAGATGCAATAAAGTTACTTAACAAAAGTCTTTAATATCATAATACCTCTTATTACGATTTTTATGTGACTAAAATAAGTGTTCTCTTTTTATTTTTGCTTTTTACAATACTTTATATTATATTATATTATATTTTCTTTGAGGCCAAAGTGCAAAAATCAAGATCTGTCATCTATGGGGCCATATGCAATAATTGACCAATTAAACACATTGTACATTTTGAATAGCTCTACAGCTCAGTTGCCATATATCTATATTATGTAATTCCAGATTTGGTTATTGAACTGTTCAATTTGAACATTGGGTTGTTTTTCTCATCTAAGAATATTCTGTTCAAATTGTATCACGAAGATTTGTGACTATAATGATTATTGATTAATTTGCTTTTATGTATATGCAAGAATGAAAGGGCAAAAAAGTGAAAATAAGATATATTACTATAATTTACTAAGAGAAAGATATATCAAAATTTCGTGTATACTATATTTACTAAGAGTAAGTAAGATCAAATCATGATCTTAACATATCAAAATCTCGTGTTTCGATTTATCATAGAAAATTTCGTGTTTCGATTTATCATAGAAAATTTAGTGAAAAATAATGTAAAACGACAAGTACAATAGATATATTAACTCGTTTAAATATAATGTATAGCTGCTCGAAATACTTATCGTTTAAACAATCATGTGTTAGATATATTACTTTAATCAATAAAATAGATTTGTAATTAATTAATAATTATGTGTTAGATATTACATTATCAGAACTTGTCATAAAAGAATAAGAACTTGACGTGCAAGCATTGGGTCAAAGTTCAAACAATATAAAACTTTATTTTGCTTCAATATATTAAGTGGAATCAATTTCATCTTTAGAAAGTCAGAAAATTGAGCTTCCTTCTTTGATGAAGTTTTTAAACCCGCACCGCACCCGCATAGATTTAATTTTTTTTAATCCATACCGCACCCACATATGTTTAAAACCGCACTGCACCGCCCCGCCATCCATACACACAGGGGCGTATTTAGGATTTTAACCAAGGGATTCAATATTTGAAGAAATAAACAGTAAAATATTCTGACGAAGGTGTTCATAGAAAATTTGAAGGATGATTGTCATGTAGCAATATTCAAGCAGATAAAACTAATTTACTGGTGTTTACCCGAAAAATGGATAGAGTTGAATTTATTCGTAGTTCTAAGGATACATGGTATAACTTGGTACAAATTGGAAAAGTAAGTAGAGACATCTCGAATATTGATTGTAAAAGGGAATTAAAACAAACCGAAATTGAGTAAAAAATAATTTATGAACAAACAAGATGAATCAATGTACAAAGTCCCAAAAAGGATAATCTTTTCTATATGTGTGTAAATCTCTATAATCTTTGAAATGTGAGAGTGTATTGATGTCTCAATGCCTTTTACGGAAATGATAGTCACTGTTCATATAGTGTAGGGATCCTACTTTGGATATCATTCAAAATATATAGTGGAGATCCCATGATAGATTAGTTAATTAGTTTCTCCTTAATTCCCGTCGAGATTCTCTTCCCCAGTGCGGCTACGACGACTCTTTGTCTCTTAGCTCGATCTTGGTCGGTCTTGGATCTCAAGTTCGATGTTGACTCGAGCTCCATATTGATCGATCTTTGGCTCTTGAGCTCGATAACATCGCTTTACATCATAGCTCGATATTGACTCTAGCTTGATATCGCCTCGAGCTCGGTATTGGTCGGTCTCTTTCCGGGTCTCGACCTCTACCTGGGCTCGATATCGACTTTGGCTGTTCCCGACCTTGGTTGGTTTCTAGAGTTAGAACTCAGCAACTCGACTTCACATCATACCTCAATATTATAATGACGAATCTCGTTCCACCATGCCCCAAACTCGATCAGCCACACAAGGGCAAACTCAGTTTTGATCGTACACAGATAGTTTTCTCGTTTCTCGGAAAGAATGTGACGAGAAACGATATAATTTTTCAACCTCTGACTAGATACACACTGACGTCTGCATTGAGCCCGATTGTGACGTGTGTGACAAATGCCCCGTCAGTTCAGTTACCAAGACATTAAATGTGCGTCAGTCGATGGTCGACCACTGTCAATTTTGAGCCGTCATTGTGTAACCTATAAATTTCCCTCTTCCTTTATCATTTTAAACTTTTAATTTCAACTCTTCTCATTCTAACTTTCACGGTTCTTCGTCTTCCCCAGAATTATCTATTTCCGGGTTCTGAAATTGTCTTTGCTTGTTCTTCACCAAACACCAAAATATTTCAACTTCCCGCCCTCTTTGTTCCTTGAAAATTTAGATGGACAAGATATCTAAAATCGTTCCTCAGAAAGAGGATGCTTTCTCATCTCGGCCGGCTGGTGAAAAACCGGTGGTGGAGCCACGCCTTGAAGAAATTGTTCCTGGGGGATGTGTTATTGATTCCGATTTTAAAGTTGAAAAACCTTTGTCGGTTGCCGGTCGGTGCGAGCCGATATCGAGATATATATGCTCGATACCGGTAAGTTTCCTTGATGCGATGAAGAAAGATTGTAATTGGGTAAACAAAGAGGTCGTGATACCGACACCGGAGGAATCGATCACTATCCACGTGGAAGGGTATCTGAGTGTTTACACTTACCCTTTCACGATGGGTTCCCTTGATCTAGTCATCATCAATTTTTGCAAGAAATACCAGGTGACCCTCGACCAAGTTCATCCTTCTTTCTGGAGGATTGTGATCTTGATTCGTTTTTTTGTAAGCAAAATCGATGGGCTTCCCTTCACCCTCGACCATCTTATAAGATTGTATAGTCCTCTACTTTACCGAGGAGGGCTGATAAAGCTTCAATTTTGTGCCACCAAGGTGTTCACGTCGAGCGTAGATGAAGATAAGGATCGGGGCTGGATGGGCCAGTTTGTTCGAGTGAAGACCTCAGACCTAATCCCGGTTGAGAGTATGCCATTTCCCGAGAAATGAAATATAAACCGTGAGTGTAATGTCGTTCTTAGTTTATTTTGTTTTTACTTCTTCATCTTTTCTTATTAGTGTTTTTCTTCACACAGCCGTTGCTTGGATGCTGAGTGTGGTTCCTCATCTCGAGAACTGGGTTAAAAACTTGGTCTCGACATCAACATTTGCCGAGCGCTCATGGCGCGATTTGTCGAAGGGTAAATAGGAAGCTCGTACTCATGGTAAGCTTCCATCTTGGTCTACTGATTCGTTTTTCATTCGTGATGAGATGTTTATTCGAAGCATGAGTTTATTTATCTTTTTTACTTTATAAGTCTCTGAAAAGATGCGGTCATGAGAAAGGTTTACCGCCTGTTTCGAAGCCGTTGAAGGAAAGTAAGAGAAAAAGGACCTCAAATTCCGAGGGTCAGAAACCTAAGAAGAGGACAGTCTGTAATCCCAAGGGAACCACAATCCAATTGACTATGGAATCAGTCCTTCGTCTAAGGGACGACGAAGAAGAAGAAAGTGATTTCGGGCTGTTGGCTCGTGCCCGGGCTAGCACCGATACTCAGATTATTTCGGTATCGGTGAGAGTTGATACTGCTCTGACTAGGCTTGATGAGGTCAAGGAGGGGACTTCGACCCGAGTTCCCGAGCCTTTGGAGACCGAGGATCTTTTACCTCGAGATAAAGAGATCGTCGAAGAGGCGGCGAATGCCGGTGCGCAAACTGAGCTTGGGGCTCCCGAAGGTAGAGGCGGCGCTTCTAAAGATCTACTCGGGGCGATAGAGATCAGAGATTCCCCCTCTTTCTCCCAATCGATGATACGTGACGCTTAAGTTGTAGGAACTTGTCACGGGGAAAGAGCTCATGGAGGGGAGGATCCTTTCCATGGTTATTTTGTCGGTGTAGAAGACATCACCGGTCCGAGTGACTCGGAGGCTCTGAAAAAGAGCTCGAGAGAGGTGGGAGTGCCTTGCCTTTTTAACGAAGCCCAACAAACCCTGAACCGGGTAAGTTCATATTTTCTTTGTTAATTTCACACTTGTGTTTTCTTTTCCTTGCATAATCCCTTCTTATTTTCGTAGTCTTCTACGGTTCATCATGAGGCATTTTTTCAATCCCGAGGGGAGCTGAGCCGGTACAAGGCCGAAGTTCGAAGGCTTACCGAGGAGAGAGATGCCTTAAAGCTTCTCGGTGGGTAGAGAGAAGGAGAGGTAAAAAGACTTCAGGCCGAGCTGGAAGTATCTCGGAAAGAACAAACTGAGCTGGCCGAGCAGGTACAAAGAATCTTTGGTTTTAGTGATATTAACTCGGAATTGATGGCTAATAACTCGGTCCCGCAGGTTGAGCAAAAGTTTGAAGTGATTAGGAAGCTTCGTGCTGAGGTGGAT